TGAAAGGTGCTGGTAGAGTTGAGCTTTTTCTTTCGCCAGCTTTGTGCCAAGGAGGTATCTATGAAAGTGGTTGAGGAGTTGGAAAAAGTGGCACCTCTGTTGCTTTGTAAGTTGGAGAAGATCTTTCCACCTGGCTTTTTCTTGTCGATGCAGCATTTGATTTTGCACCTCCCGTCCGAGGCATGAATGGGGGGGGGGCGTGCAGAACCGTTGGTGCTATCTAATCGAGAGATGTCTAAAGACTATTCGCAAGAAATGTGGAAACAAAGGCAGGATTGAGGCTTCCATTGCTGAGGAATTCATTCATGAGGAGGTGTCAAACTTCACAACAACATACTATAATGAGAACCTTCCTAGCGTGCATAATCCACCCGCTCGGTACAACGAGGACGAAAATGGATCGACCCTTAGCCTTTTCAAAGGGCCACGTGGGAGAGCAAGTGGAGCGACCACAAAGACCTTGAGCTATGAAGAGTGGCGCAAGATCATGCTCTACATGTTGACCAACCTTGACGAAGTGGAAACGTATCTAGGGTAAGTTCTCAACGAACTTGTTACATACTCCGTAACTTTTATACATCCAACAACATTGTCCCTTGTCGGTGCAGGGAATTTTTTGATGAATCCTGTCATGATTCAAGGCCACCTTCTGACCATGAACGAGAGACCCTTCTTCAACATGGTTCTCCTGATTTCATTACATGGTTCCAAAAAAAGGTACCGGCCAACTTAGCTCTTACTAAGTTTGACGTTCCAAGTTGCCTGATTTCATTTCTCTCCTGCTTGAACTTGCAGTGCCAAAGGGATGTGTCTATAAGTGCTGAATTACGATAGGTGGCCAATGGCTTTGACTATAAGGTTTTGTCATTTAACGCTTATGACGTGAATGGATATCGCTTCCACACAACAAGGTACGAGCAGAGTCGGCCCAATCCAAGGACCATGAATACCGGAGTATTTACGCCCGGCACTGATCAGGAGGAGTATTATGGGACAGTTGAAGAAATATACGAGCTCGATTATCGTGGTTCCAAAGCACTTAATCCTGTCATATTCAAATGCTAGTGGTTGGATCCTGCAGTATCGAGAAAGTCCCATCAACTTGGGATAGTCGAAACTCGACAGGATCCTTCTATCCAGGAGAAGATGTCTATATTGTGGCTCAACAAGCCACACAAGTTTATTATTGTCCATATGCTTGCAAAACCGACCCACGTCTTCAGGGTTGGTATATTGTGCACAAGGTATCACCACACGGTAGATTACCTCGCCCAAACCCTGATGATTACAACTTGAACCCAAACACGCATGACGGAGAGTTCTATCAACAAGAAGAGGGGCTACTAGGGATGCTTGAGATAGACTTAACCAGAGAGATCGAAATGGAAGCAAACGAGGAATGGGTTGTTGACGAGGACGCTGCAAATGAGGTGCATGATCCGAAGGACTTGGAAATGCTTGATGGACTACGACTAGGCAATGACAACGATGAGGATGAGGCTGTTGAGGATTTGGACAATCTTGATAGTGATGACGATACCTATCGTCCAGATAATCCCAATCATGAAGAATATTAGAAATACATGTAATACTATGTTATTTTGTAATCACATTTTCTTTATTTTGCATCTCTTACTAAGTACGTCTCGTTTATCTGTACTTACTGGTTTACTCTTTTTAATTGTAGGTGATGGGGCCCACTAGGAGGAGCTGCCCCTCGGTTTACGCCAACCAAAGGGACATGGCGGCGACTGAGGAGGCGGAGGCGTCAGAGAGGCCAAGGAGGCCGAGAGGCAGGCCTAGGCGGGAGCCGTTGACTGACCATGGGCGCAGCTCCTCGCGTGACTCTGTGCACGACGACGACCTTCAGCACACGGTGGACGAGGACGGGGGTCCACGGATGGAGGACGAGGAGGCGGTTCCAGCGATGAAGGACGAGGAGGCGGTGACGGTAGGGGGTTCCACTTCCTCTGGTACATCGAAGCCCTACCAGCAAGGTCTCACAAAGCTCCCGAAGCGACCGATACCTGTTGAGAGGCGCCCACTGATTGCACCCGAGGGCGATAAGTAAGTAACTTCATATGTTCTTCATTTGATATGTTGAAAAATCATAATAACAACTAATAACTATTGTGGACCACTTGTGCAGGAACTAGGTGCTTGTTGACCAGGCGGCCCCGGCACACAATGTGAATGGCATCCTGGGACTTCTGTGCAAGGAACACTTCCCTGGCCTGGTTAGGAAAGGAGATCAGGATTGGGAGCCGGCCTGGACGTTCGACCACTAAGCCCTCGTGCAGGATGCTCCAGATCATAATGGCATCCGCTGCAGAAACAAGGCAGATCGGGTGATTAGGGAGTTGTGGGTAAGTCTTTCTTGAACTACATTCCTCAATTCCTCGCATTCATTGGACATTCTTGAAATAAAATAATGGATACCTCGTGTCTTTATGCAGGACTTCTTCAGAATCTAGGAGGGATAATAGGAAAGTGCGTATCAGGTGGCTTACGCTTCCTGTAAAAGGCGTGTCACGGACTTGCACTACGAGTCCTACCTCCAGGCCCACATAGACTACAACGCCATGTTCCTACTCAGGCGTGTCAACAAAGAGGAGGCAAGACGGATGACGCTGACAAGGGAGCAGTACATACAGGTAAATACAAAATATGAATATTCATTTCTTTTGAGATTAAGTATGCCTAATTTGATCTTTTGATATGTCATCTACTTGATGTCCTGTAGGCGATTCCAAGATGGTGCGCCACCCACCCTGATTGCTAGGAATATATTGTGGACACCTGGTTGGACGGGGACTGGCAGAAGAAGCACGAGGAGGCCCGCGATAGGTGTTTGCAGATGCCAGGTGTATCCACCATCAGGGCAGCCGCAGCCTCAGCAAATATGCAAAGGCATATGTAAGTCCTCGCCATTGCTCTAATCTAGCCACGCTCAATTCTGCATCATTTCTAACCACATGTTGTTGTCTTTCTCGTAGTCGGATGCACACGGTGGCCAGCCAGTTGGTCAACTCAAGGCATATGCTTTGGCTCACATGGGCAAGACGACGGCCGACATCGAGTACGACCCAGATGCCCCGCTTGAGGCGTACACCAACTCCAACGTCCACACCCACCTCTCTTCGTACATGAAGGCGGCAAGGTCAGTCCATGGGCCGGGCTACGATCCAAGAGCCGAGGAGCGCCTTGATCCACAGCTCGTGATGAGGGTGGGGCAAGGCAAGAAGCATGGGCGGTTCTGGATTGGCGACGGCGTCCTCGACATGGCCTCTACTCCTCCTCTCCACCAGCTCCGAGCAGCGAGCACGAGCTCAAGCGTGCCCAAACGCCAATGGCCGACCGCAGTGTCGGCACTCCTGGTAAGCATTCCTGTTTCATTCGTCGTTCTTTGACTTTTACATACCTTACCTATGCATTATTGAAACATTGAGGTCAAATGACGCAGGCTCAGGTGCAGGAACTGCAGGCCGAGCGGGAGGCCAAGCGGGAGCAAGATCAGCGGCAGATGGCTGAGATGATCAAGTTCATGCAGCAAATTGGCCAGCAACAAGGTTGGGCGATCCCACAGACGCTGCTTGCTCTAGATCCACCTCCACAACGTCCTGATTCTACCCCGGTGAGTATAAGTACAAAGTTTTATTTTCTATGCTGAAACTTAGAGAAACCTAGTGAAACCTAGAGAAACCTAGTGGTGGTGGTGGTGGTGGTGGTGGTGTGGTGGTCATGGTGGTGGTGGTGGTGTGGTGTTGGTGGTGGTGGTCACGGTGTTGTGGTGCTCATGATGGTGGTGGTGGTGTGGTGGTGGTGAAGTGTTGGTGGTGAAATGTTGGTGATGGCGGTGATGTGGTGGCGGATATTTATCTTGCATATTTATCTCTTATCTTGTCGTTCATGTGCAATCTCTTCTATTTTGTGTAGCATCAATCGCGGCGTCGAACCACCTCGGAGGGTCGCCGGGATCGCACGTTGGGCCATCCCAACCCGGACCGTCGCCGTGAGCTTCAAATGGCAGCCGTTGTGATATAATGCACTTGTGAACTTTGTGAACTATGCTTGTGTGTTTGGACTTTGGACTTGGGAGTCGAGATTGTGATACTTGTATGCTATATTTGTGTTTGTGGTGGATTGTGATATACATTTGTATTATATATATATTTGTGTGATATATAGTTGTGTTATATATATATATGATGTATATCTTGTTTGCAGCGATGGAAGACTAAAAACCAAAAAAAAAATTGAATTTTTTCACTTCTTTGCCAAGTGTCATGACTATAACACTCGGCAAAGCTGGGATTCTGGGACACTAAGCTTCCCAGCTTTGCCGAGTGCTATGGTCAAAGCACTCGGCAAAGAAAATTCAAAAAAAATGCTTTGCCGAGTGCCTACCTACAGTACTCGGCAAAGAAAATCCAAAAAAAAAGAAAACAAGCTTTGCCGAGTGCCAGATGCAGGAACTCGGCAAAGCATTTTTTAAAAATAAAAATAAAAAACACATTTCTTTGCCGAGTGCCGACGCGTGGCACTCGGCAAAGGGGCCGTCACCGTGACCTGGCCGTCACGGCGGCTTTTCTTTGCCGAGTGCTGTCGTGGCACTCGGGAAATACTTTGCCAAGTCTTTGCCGTGAAGGGATATGTCGACAGCTCTTTGCCGAGTGCAGCACTCGGCAAAGGCTTTGCCGAGTGCAAAGCCTTCTTTACCGCTCGGCAAAGCACGCGTTTGCTGTAGTGAAAGTTACTTATGAAACTGTTTAAAAAAAGAAGAAGTTGAACAGTGCCAAACGAGCCCTATAGAATAAATGACAACAGTAACTGATGTGCCTTTAACAAACTGTCATTTATTAGCACACTGGTTACACGCTGAATCCAGGCACAACACCAACGTCTGAACTTCTCACTTCTCAGACTACCAGATTACATAAACTTCTCTTATTTAAGGCAAGAACTAGGCAAAATTTCAGAGGAACCCTGCCGATGCTGGTTTACTTGGTCCACCAGTGAAGGAAATCCTTGCGCCTGTTGATCTTCTTCTGCAGCTGAAGAACACCGTACAGCAGAGCCTCAGCGGTTGGCGGGCAACCAGGGACGTAGATGTCAACCGGGACGATCCGGTCGCATCCTCGCACGACGGAGTACGAGTAGTGGTAGTATCCGCCGCCATTGGCGCAGCTGCCCATCGAGATCACCCAGCGAGGGCTCCGGCATCTGGTCGTAGACCCTACAGAGAACGAACAGAGGAAGCTGAGAGTGAGCATTGCTGCTAAGAAGTTTACGGCCTTTTCATTGGTTGGTTCATGGACCGATAAGCCTGACAGTGCTGATTTACGGTGAGAGAAAAATACTGATTGGTCGACTATGAACAGGCTGTTAATCTGTGAGCGAAAGGCGAGATAAAGGTTGCGGGTGTCAGGAAGCAAGACGTACTTGCGGAGCGCGGGCGCCATCTTGTTGGTGAGCGTGCCGGCGACGATCATGCAGTCGGACTGGCGCGGCGAGGGGCGGAAGATGACGCCGAAGCCGAAGCGGTCGAAGTCGTAGCGGGAGGCGCTGGCGTGCATCATCTCCACGGCGCAGCAGGCGAGCCGCGAGCCCGAACGTCATGGGCCAGATGGAGCCCCGCCGTGCCCTGTTCATCAGGTTGTCCACCTTGGACACCACGAACTCCGCCGCCTTCGATGCCGGCGCGGGAGGCAGCGCCCCGCGCGGGCTCGCCGCGGCAGAGGAGGAGGAGGAGTAGGCGCGCGGGGAGGCGGATAGGAGCGCCAGCTGCGCCGTGCGGGGGAGGAGCGCCATGGTGATCGGGCAATGGCCGGGGAGGACGTCGAGAGGAGGAGGGTGGTGTTCGGGGTGCTGTGGTCGGGGGGTTCGCCCGCCGAGTTGACGACGCAGGACGGCAGGGAGAGTGAACGGCGCGGCGCGGCGCGTGGCAGGGGACTGGGGACACGACTCCAGTGTGGGTAGTGGGAGGCCGACACGGCTCAAGTCCGCGGTGTCATATGGCGGACGCAAGCAGAGGACGATCACAGTGCAGGACTGCAGGGTCGGTTTGAGTCTTGAGAGGGAGAGGTCGGTGTACGAGCAGTGTTGCGTCACGCGTGCCGTGTACATGGCTCGACTGCCGAGACGTCGGAGAGAGGAAGAGGACCACGTCTCTTACACGTATTCTTTAAAATCATTATCAGTGGATTTTTTATTATTTCCAAAAATGTCATCCTCCGTATTAGATTACAATACAATTGAAATGAAACTACTATTCATAATATATAGTTTTATTTTAGTGTTTCATAAATTTCATAACTCATCTAGAGTTAGAAACCGAGCCAACAGAGTTTTATTTTTATCCCATCAAACTTTATTATTTTATCTTTTAAAAAACACTCACAATCTGTTAAACGCGTATAAAACCTGAGTGAAACTTCTACCTCCTACCGAGACTAGCCTAAAGTGACATGGAACTGAATGAAAATTCTACTCAGACTAGCCTAAGATGACATTTCAAACAGTAGAAATTTCATAAAAATATAGTATCTATATCCGTTTTCTCCATTTTCGATGAGAATCTACATTGAGATTTATGTGCACACTTTTTAATACGAATCCAATGGTGAATGTGCTGGAACTCTAGGAGCACATGCCCTTAAAAAGGCACAGTGGGTGCTAGCGTTTTTACTCACATCGAGTTCTCCACACAAATTGTTGTGTCAAACTGTCAATTACTCAATTGTGTATGTGATTGTTGTAATTCCGCTTTTAATCTACCGGTTAAAGTTCTACTTATCATTCACGCTAAGATGATGAATTAATCAATGCATTGTTGATGCTCTTCTATCCGAACGAAAGAATCATATACAATATATAGAAAATGTCTTTAGTATATTCTATAATATATACCACCTTCTCTCGTCTTAAACGATAGAACTAACGTTGTTGAGACAACAGAGACTTTGCACCGGTCAGAGTATAACTCACACTAGTTTATAAGAACGTCACGTGAATAAACTATATAAATCTCTCAATTCACAGCTTGATAGAGCTGAACAATCACGTGTATAACTGGGTATTTGCTCACCCTGGCATCCTGATCTCATATGTGCTTCTGCACCGACGGTAGCTGCAGCACCAAACATCCTTCAGAAAATATCAGTTCTGTATTTCTTCTCTCTCTTGCTTCGTTGGGAACTGCACGTAGCGCCACGTCGCCCTCAGTACACCGAAGTAGGGATGCAGCGTGCTTCTTCAGCAGATGCTTAATTCAGTGCTGATACAACCATATTTCTTTACCATACGGTTAAGCACAGCATCTAGGAGACTTTACAGAGGCAGTAGGGAACTGTCTCTGCTATTTACGCTGCTGCCCTGGCTCGAGCCGCTGCTCTCTGATAGATTTCTTCGTATTGGGAAGCTGAAGTATCCCAGCTGAAATCTATCTTCATGTCTTTCTGCACCAACTGTTTCCAAACTTCAGGTTTTCTATGGTAGTAGTTGAAAGCTCTTTCCAGGGCACTATCAAAACCCTATCAAAGTGAACATCACACATCAGCTGTACTGCAGCCACCAGAATATCTTAATTTCCAAAACTTCATGTAAGGATGTACACAGGTATGGCAACCACCTGCTCATCAGCCTTCAAAAAGGTGAAGCCATTTCGCAGCTCCATGGGTATCGTTTCATCGTCCAAAATCAAATACACTTGAATCACAAAATCACATCAGCATGGTATTATCAATACATGTTTGAAGGTAACAATAACCTTTTGGTGAATGGCTGGTTTAGGATTTACCTGTCATTCAAAC